GCTGACGTCGAAAAAATGCCCTATTGTAAAATTAAAGTAAGACCTCCCATTTTTTATTAGGAACAGACTGCCCCAGTGCACATATCCGGGGTCACCGGGGGGTCAATCCTATACCTTACCGGAATATGAAACAGCCAGCTATGATTGTCAGCGGGCGCAAAGGCCATTGGAAGCTATACTTTAATATTAGCCACATGTGTTTTTATTTTGTCATTTTTACCAAAACGTCATCAAACACAAGGTACTTGTTGCAAAAATAAAACCCGGATAGTCAACATCCCTCTACGTTCAGAATACGTCTTAGGAATATGAATATATTATGTAGATATTCAATCAGCTACTCGGAAAAACAGAACTAATGTGGCAAGATGATTTAATTAAGACCCCTTTCCTCCTCGGTTCCTATAGCCCATCTACTTTTCTCTCACGAACCACCAACGGAGACTACTTCTGAATTTCCATTCATATCCTTGCCGTCTTGCTTCCTTCTGTCTTAAACTTTGCGTTACCTGTCTTTACGTGTGTCTGTCTATACGCTTATTCCAATGCTCAGGGTACTTTTCTCAATACAAGGTATCTTTGTCTACTTGTATGTCTGTCTATATGTCTGTCTGTCTGTCTGTCTTTCTGTCAGTCTATCTATCTATCTATCTATCTATCTATCTATCTATCTATCTATCTATCTATCTATCTATCTATCTATCTATCTAGCAGTCTACTATCTATGAGTCGAAGTTCAACGACCGCATGGCTCATTTGCGTCAGCAACTCACAATTCTGCCACATTAGATGAAAGATGTGTAAAACTACTCTCGTGTGTTCCTGCAGACCAATAAGAACTACTTCACACGGCCCACGTCTGACTTACTCACTTACTGATGACGTAATTGATGCCTGAGGATGACTGAGGAGGCATTTATTAGCGACTTCCAAGACAATTGCTCTGATCCGACACAAATTGGACGGTAGTGAAGTGGCAAGACTACGCAGCACGTACGTCGTACCTCTCTGGTCGTACTCTACAGGGTGTCGGTGGTGTAGAGGTTGCACGCAGGAGACCAGAGGTCGATTCCCAAGTGGGGAATAATATTTCTATCGAGTATGTTAGTTTTTCTTCAGGGTTGTTGTATCTCCCTCAGCCAGGGTTGGCCCTGACAGGCGGGGTCGGAAGCCCGCCTCCCAAATGATTTAAATGGTGTCCATGGGGGCGTAAAAACACTTACGTTACACGAACAAAAAGAACGTACCCTTTTGTGCGAGCGCACTGAACGCACTGAGAGAAGGCATATGGAGGGCAAAGACTAAGCCATAGAAGGATATTCCTATAAGTGCGACGTCTGCATGTAGGTGTACATGGGTTGCGTAATAATTATACTGATTTGACTCGCCCTTCATTTGGTTGTAAAGAGCGATGTACGTCGCCATATTTGTTTGCCCCTTTTGTTCTTTCAGTAATATTTGGCGTGGCTGCTCCTTGAGTCCCATAGTTTGCCCAACCCGTTCTTTCTCCTCCTCCTCATTTTCCTCCTCCTCTTCCCCCCCCCTCTCTCTCTCTCTCTCTCTCTCTCTCTCTCTCTCTCTCTCTCTCTGAGGGGTTAAGGAATTATTTACTTCTTCCTTTACAAACTATCTCAAACGCAGGTGACGCTCATCGGTCATTGTTAGTTTTAACACATATTTCAAAACTGAAAGGTCATTCCAGAGGCTGCACCTCCGAATATTACGTTTATTTCCAATAAGACATATACAAATGACTGGAAGGCACCCCCCCCCCCCCAAATCAAGTTCCAAACGACCCTTGCGGAATTCGAATTCTGCTTTGTAGTCCAGAGTGATACTAATTGAACTAATGCAAGCGCTGAGCCATTCGAATAGATTGTCTATTTCAGTATCTTAATCCAAATTTTCAGACTTGATATGGTAAGTCGAATGCTTGCTACTCCTTTCGCCTTTGCCCTTCGTTGGCCCAATAGGTAGGATATTAATGTGCACGGTCTAAGATATAATGAAACAAGC